GCAGTGATGCCTGAAATGGAGGCAGAGATGATGACGTGGAGCAATGGAGCAGCTGGAGACTTTAGACCCAGAGAGGGAGAGCAACTGGGTGCTGAAGACCTGGGGGGCACAGGGGAAGGATTGCATTGAGGGGATTGTAACCATGGCAATGAGACGATATACGATAGCATGAATGTAAAACTAATGTTCTCCCATGTAAACTATCACAAAATTCACAATAAAACATTAAAAAAAAAAAGAATCAAGCACTTAGCCATTCATGCCATAAGGGCTCTTTAGAATTACCTTAGCATTATCTTAATGTATATACCTAGGAGTGGAATTGCTAGAGCTACCATAGACCTTGAAACTCCACTCCTAGGTATATATACCAAAGAGAATTGAAAACATGAATACAGAGAAATTTGCAAATGAATGTTCATAGCAGCATATTCATAACAGTCAAAAAGTGGCAGTGGAAACAACCTAAATGTTCAACAGACAAATGGATAAACAAAATATGGTCTACACATTTGGTGGAATCATATACAGCCACTGATACATGCTACAACATGGATGAACTATGAAAGCATTATGCTGAGTGCAAGAAATCATACACAAAAGGCCACATAACATTATTCCATTTATATGAAATGTCTATAATATCCAAATCTGTGGCAACAGAAAGTAGATTAATGGTTGCCATGGGAGAGTGTTGAGTGTATGTTATAATGAGTACAGGGTCTCTTTTGGAAATGACAAAACATTGTGGAGTTACATACGGCTGATAGCTGAATAACTTTGTGAACATACTAAAAAATGCTGAATTTTATACTTCAAAGCCTGAAATGCATGGCATAGGAATTATACTCCAATTAAAGAAATATATACATAGAGCCTTGGTGTGGCACTGTAAGATGAACACTGGACTGCTAACCACATGTCAGTAGTTCAAATCTACCAGCCACTCCTCTAAAACCCTATACAGAGTCACTACAAATTGGAACCTACTCAACAGAAGTTAACAACAAAAACATGTATAGATTTATTATAAAAAATGCTGACATATCCTTTTTCATATACCCATTTTGGTTTTGTTATTAAAATTACTATGTTATCATCTGGTTTTTCAACTTTACATAGATTAATGATATTCCACATCATTAAATCTTTCTATGAAAAAATATTTTTAAAGAATTGCAGATACATGCAGTAACATGGATGTGCATGCATCTCAAATGCATAATGCCAAGTAAAAGAATTCAGATACAAAAGATTACATAGTGCAAAATTTTATTTATATGTGAATCAGAGCCAAACTGATCAGTAATAATCGAAGCTAGACTTGTGGTTACCTTTGGGGGAGTTATAGACTGGGTATATGAAAGAACTTTCTGAGTGTTGGAAAGATTCTCTATCTTCATCTGTGTGTTGGTTACACATGTATTGTTGTTGTTGTTAAGTGCCGTTGAGTGACCCTGCATAGGGTTTCCAAGGAGCATCTGGTGAGCTTAAACCACCGACCCTGTGGTTCAAAGTGACCTTGCAGTCCAGTGAATTAGCCCACAGTGCCACACCAGGACTCCAACACATGTATAAAGGTAGAAATTCATTAAGCTGTACTCATAATGTATGTGAACATCACTGTATGTAGTTTGGTTGGTTGGTTGGTTATGTGCCATGGAGAAGGTTGTGACTCATAGTGACCCTGTATAGGGTTTCCGAGGCTGTAAATCTTTATGGAAGCAGAAAGTGTCATTTTTCTCCCGTGGAACTGCTGGTAGTTTTGAACTGCTGACCTTGAAGTTAGCAGCCCAACTC